AAGTAGACTATTTTGATGTCGACTCACCTGTGTGTTATCTATCAACTATAAGAATTCTTCTTGCTTTGACATCTATTGAACACTATGTAGTGCATGAAATGGATGTAAAGACAACTAATGGATGACATGTTAATTCTTGGTTTTGATCATTCTGTAGTGAATGACATAAAAGCTAATTTAGCTAAAGAATTTGACATGAGAGATCTTGGTATTGCAAATACCATTCTTGGTATGAAAGTAAGCTTTGATAGGCAAGTTATCTCCCTTAGCCAGACTCATTATATTGAGTAGCTACTTTCTACCTGGGGATACAGTGAGTGCAAACTGAGTGAGACACCATGTGATTATAATAAAAGACTGAGTCCTCATGAAGGAACCAGCGTGGATCAGTTAAAATATTCAAGACTGACTAGTAGTCTCATATATGTTGCAAGTTGCACTAGACCTGACATAGCCTTTACAGTTGGCATGCTGAGTCATTTCACTAGTAATTTTAGTAAAGAGCATTGGGATGCCCTCGATAGGCTGATGCGATATCTTAAAGGTACTAAAGATTATGCTCTACACTACTCTGGTTATCCTTCAATTGTGGATAGATATTCTGATACGTCATGGTGTTCAAAAATTAGAAATAGTAAGTTCATCAGTGGATATGCATTCACTTTGGGTGGAACTGCTATTACTTGGAAATCCAAAAGACAGACTTTTATTGCATTGTCGTCTATGGAATCAGAACTTTTTTGCTTTAGCCTTAGCCGGCGAAGAGGCAAAGTGGATAAAGAATCTGATTATGGATATTCTTTGACTCAGCTAAAGATTAATTATTTAAGCCTATTTTGTGATAATCAAGCAGCTGTCCAAGTTGTTAGAAATGCTCTCTTTAACTTAAAGAGAAGATATATAAGATTGAGACATGCGTTGTTGAATTATCTGAGAAAATAAGGAGTTATCACCTTGATCGATGTGAGATCAAAGGATAACTTGGCTAATGCTCTCACAAAAGTTATGCCTAAAGATCGATTATTCAAAACAGTGGGGGAAATGAGGTTAAAGACTATATAGATAAGTCTTAATTACCATTTACTTACCTTTTAATTGTGTGTTTTGAATTATCGAATCTTTCTTTTGTTGGCCAAAATGATAAGCACTATTTATATGTTTCATCGATGTTCATAGTTGCTGATTAATTTGAAAAGGGTAAGTTGTCTCATTCCAAACTTGATGAAGATAACTTAAACCTGATTCAAAGGTTCTACTTGGGAAACTTGTGTCATTCCAAACTTGATGATACAATCCAACCTGGTTGGACCATCCTTTTGGTTAAATTATCTCATTCCAAACTTGATGCTAGATTATTTGACTTTGAGGAATCAGTAATTGTGACATTCCAAATTGAAACATTGAAATAGTTGTTTGCATAAGAAGCCTATGGGTCATGTTCTTAATTGAAACTTGACATCACATGACTAGGTTATTGTAAGTAACTTGACTATTGATTTTGTTCATTGAAACTAGACAATAGTTATTCTCTTACAAATAAACTTAAGTTGATGGCTGTTTGCAAAATAAACTATTTAGGCCTTGTTCATAATTTATGAAACTGGCTTGATGCTTATGAACATAATATTGCGATGCTTTATGACATTAATATATGTTCTTCTTTGCCTGATTATATGATGCTAAGTCCTTTTAGTAGAACTAGACATCTTTGGTAGATTATTCAACTGATTGGATTCATAATAATATGAAATTCATACTTGATATTCTACAGAGGATGGCAGAGATGGAGGAGAGCTTAATGAGAGGGATCTTGACTAAGATCACCTCCTTGATGAATGAATATATCATTTAGAGTATGTGGGGACTTGACAGTTCACCCGCTATTGCCCATTTTGATGGAGTCCATTTATTTGAGACTTACATTTTGCTATCTTTAATTTATGAACATTGTTGATTGAGAACTGATTTTGAGACTTCTTTTGGATGTTGGGATTTGGATGAGTTTAGATTGAATCTAAAACTCTAAATATTTACTTTGGTATGTTGGTCTCAGAACAGATTCATGATAATGATGATTTATTTATTTAGATTGAAAATGACGATTGAGTTTAATATTTTACCATTAAAACTCTTTGATTGATCCGAGTTAATTGTCTTGGACTGGATATGAATGATTCATATTTGTTTGAACATTATATTGATCACTCTATTGGATTGTGCTATATGGTGAACATAGGAGGAGATTGTTGGATATATTAATAGTATAATCAATAATAGTATGTTCACATATAAGCCCAATAGGTGAAAGCATGGTTATTTTGGGTCCATATGGGCTGGAGCCCAATAGCTTGTATTATATCTAGGGTTTCCTAAGCTGGAGGTAACACTGTTGAGCATTCCAAACTTTGATGTCTCAAGGTGTAATACTTTAAGCACCTCTGAACCCTTCTCTCTCAAACTCTTAACCTCCAACACTTATCACATCATTTATTCATTTCTGGTCTCTACCGGTTGCTTAAACAGCGGTACAAAATACCCGGCAAAAATCACTATTTACGAGATTTTCGTGAAAAGTGCGAGACTATACTAAATCACATTCTAAACACATATTTAGCATCCAAATCATCAAATTAAATCTTTATAATAAAGATTTATCGGTGAGGGTCATTATACAACCCAGAAGATGTAAGTCCCTAGAAACTATACGTGTACAAATCCTCTAATGTGAAAGGAAGCAAGATTGGAATAATTATTGAGAACCCATAAGGAGTAGTTGTGGAGCATTCGATAATCCTTGACTTCCCAACAAGCAATAATCCGGCGGAATATAAGGCATTAATTATTGGGCTTATTCAAGCAAGGAAACTTAGAGTCGAGCACATCACCATCTTCAATGACTCGCAACTCGTCGCATCACATATAAGGGGGGCCTACCAAGCCAAAAGGACCCTTGTGGCTAACTATTTGTAAGGTACAAAATCTACTTGGCGAATTTGAGAAAGTGGATCTAGAACATGTGAAAAAGAGTGAAAATACTAGGGTGGAAATTTAAATTTAAATCACTAAAAAAGTAAAAAATTTAAATATTTGAAAATCAATTCATTTTAGGCAAAAACTCGTTCAAATTAATTGTTATATTGCCAAAATTTATAACAAAAGTTGAAATCCACCCACAGTCTAACTCAAATAAGCTCTTAATTAATATTTTTCATGTTGTAGTAGATAAATTTATTTTCTAAAGATATATACAAGGGTTTTATAAGAGTTATGTTGTAGGAAAAGTGATTGTGTAATGTTATAGAGATTCGTTTTGCGTGCCTTAATTTTTTATTTATTTTTTTGTTTTAAAAAGTGTGGGCCCCACAAAATATTGTGAGTGTAGGAAAGTTTGTTGTGTTATGTTAAAGGATAAAATGAAAACCCTATATAAAAATATGTGAAGTCCATATTTTTTTTTCTCTCTTCTTCTTACGGGCCTACATGGGTCTCATGCACTTCTATATGTATATAGAAAATAAATTCCTACAATATAAGAAACAATAACCCCTCAAAAAAGAGGTACGTGGTAAATAGGGGTGGCAATTTGGGTTGGTCCGCCCCGCCCCGCCACCAACCCGCCAAAAACGGGGTGGGGCGGGTTGGCCCGCCATTAAATATGGGCTGGAAAAATGAACCCACCCCGTTTTATGGTGGGTTGGCGGGTCAACCACCAACCCGCCAATTATAATTAAAATTCAAAAATAAATTATATTTTATGAATTTTTCTAATATTATTTTATTTTATTTCACACATCTCTTAATTTTTTCAGTCTCAATCTTAAATGTATACTAATATTTGTCAAACATTCTTTAGGAACTCATTTGTCTCCATATATAGATAACATCTGTCATAAATAAAATTATTATTCTTTTTTTTTTCTAGAAAGTACTAAGATAAAATAAAATTGATATCACAAAAATTTAATAACAAATAAAATACTACCTAATTGTAAAAAAAAAAAAATTTATAACCCAGCGGGTCAACCCGCCCGCGGCGGGTTAAACCCATTTTGACCCACTTCTAAGCGGGGCGGGTTGAAGTGGGTTGGTGGGTTGAAAATCTCAACCCAATCCGCCCCGTTTTAGAGGGTTGACCCGCCGAGCTCAACCCATATTGTCACCTTTAGTGGTAGATCAAAACATTATAAATTATTAATTTACATTTAGATATTTATAAAACCGTACTAAACATTTTATGAAAGTGCACACATTACGAATGTGCATCATAATATTACCAATTTGTAAAATTTTCTATTAAAAAATTGACCTTCAATCGTATCATGCATACCAGAAGAAGTTTGAGGAATTTTACCAGAAATTTTAAACACGAGTTAATTTTTTGGGTGGTGTTTGGTTGGGAGCTTTTCAGCGGATATCTATCTTTCTCAAGTATGGCTTTTAGAAATACCATGTTTGTTTCAACGTTTTTCACCAAAAACCCATCTATCCAATTTGTCTGGATTTATGAGAAACATAGATATCCGCAATGTTTAGAAACCCAATTTGAAAGTGAGATTTTTCGAAAAACCGATTATCTAACTTTTAATGCACTGTTGATTTCATAAAGTTATCTAATTTTCCCAAGTAAATTTTTTTTTCACCAAACAACTTTTTTTTACATTTTTCTACCTATCTCAGTTTATCTATCTTTCCAATCATTTCTCTATTTATCTCATTTCCCTACTATTCTAAAAAATTTTCCTGAACCAAACGCTCCCTTAGAGTTCCTCCTTGAGTAACACAAACGACTTCATTTTAGATTTTGCACAGATAATTTTCTCTCTCTGTATGAGAAACACTTTTCCCATAAGGGTTTAATGTTAATTAAAATTACTAAAGTGATGGACGTCAAATAGTCTTCTACCGTTCAATGCATTGATCATTAGAAAATGCTTTCAACACAACTTTTCACGACCATGTTTAATTTTCACACAAACAAACCTTTTCTTACAACTCACGGATACTAGAAATACTAAAGTTTAATACATAAACATCAATATACGTCAAAGTAGCATAATACCACACTGATCAGTGATCACAAGCTGGTACATAAACATTATTATGACATCAAACAAACAAGCTGGAAAATGAACATCATTGCGACATTAACCTATCCTGCAACTCTAGTAGGTAGAGACACCAACATTTGACAGAAGAAGCATCCCATTAATAGAAATGACGCTTTATTGGCCACACTTTACATCTTAGAAGAAGCCCCGTGTAATCCAACGTTTACTGTTGAGGCTGTAGAGTAGAAATGCAAAAGTTTTAACAAGTAGCAAAGAGGAACATGCAGAAACCAATCACCATTCTTCAAAATCAATAGTAAAAGATTCATATTATCTAGTACCAGAAAACGTTTCTTGAAAAGATCAACTACTTCCTGAGGATCGACTCTTGTCTGTTTATAAGCATCAATCTTGTTCAACTCCTGCAAAAGGAACATATTTCACTCACAAATGAATATCTCTTTTGTAACCAGTGTGTCTGAAGCTGTTAGTAACTTAGTAGTTAGGCTTCTTATCGAAGCCATGAGATTGTGACCAAGTTCAAGTGGAACAATCTGTTACCACTTGCAAAGTAAATGGAGAAATTTGCTAAAAGTTCATATTGATGATTATGGTGAATTCAATGAATGCAAGCTGGTGCGATTTCCATAAACTAAGGAAGAAATTTTACGCAGAACTGGTTCTAGTGTACCTCGAGCCATGCTGCAAGTTTAGGCCTTCCTTCAGTGATGTCATGCTTGAAAACCTCAGCAAAGACAATTTGGAATCTTTCAACAAATGGAATATAGGCAATATCCACCTAATCATCACAGGCATTTACAAATTATATGAAAGAAAAGATATAGTCATTGATATTATCAGACACTATTTTTTATTCAAGTTATGACTACTTTCTTTCAACAGATGCATCATGACGAACATCAGAAATCTGCCTGAAAGGCAGCAAATTCAAAAGGAAATTTTCAGGACTATTGAATTGAACTCAACTTACCAAACTGAATTGACCAAGAAAGAATGGGCCATCATCAAATTTACCAAGAGCATTCTCCAAGTATTCAAAAGAAGGACCTGATCAAAATTACCAATTAAAGGCCGATTTTATATTTTAAGAAAACTTTCCTCTATTTATAAATTAAATATTTTACTTACTGGCTTCTTTTACAGGATCCCCTTTCAATGAAGTGTACAGGTCTCTGGTGAATGTATCAACATGGGATATCAATTGCTCACCGAACTCTTTCTTGGCAGGATCCTAGAAGAAGTTCACTTAACATCATTAGTTCATCCTAACTATTGAAAAGAGATGAAAGGCCACGATGGTGCAGTTCTTACACTGGGAACCAGAGATGTCCCTTCGAAGTTGGCATCTATATATTTGATCAAATCAAGACTTTCTCCATATACCTTGCCATTGTGCTCCAAGGATGGCACCTATTTATAATAGGAGAAGAAATTCATGATCAACTGGGAGAATCAAATTAGCTCACTAGCAACCAATTTAATGAATTCTCTCATGTGAGATAAGATTACATGAGAGTCCCTATAATTTGCAAAAAAGTATGTTTTTTATTATCTGTGATTTTTTATGTTTTAAAAAGCACAGTGACATATGTGATAAAAAAAATCACAGGAGTATAGATAATTCTGAAACAAACGACAGGAACATTGGTGAACTTTTCAATTTAATAAATTCTCTTGTCACATGAGATCATCCATTTCCCAATTTATTATCTAAGTTACACACCTTATTTTCAGGGTAGACTTTCTCCTTATACCAAGCAGGCCTGTTTTGAAGGTCGATAGGAACCAATTTGATCTTGTCTTGTAGCCCCTGTAGTTTAACCAAATAGGTAAAAGAAAAATACGACAAAAAGAATAAAATAAGATCAAAACAAACATACACATAGAAGTTAGCAAATAAAAATTAATAAAATGAGACGCTATATCTGAAAAAGCAAAGCGAATATAAAAAGACATGCAACATGTGAATAGATCATTCATTTAAGAGGACAGAACGAAGAAACAACCTTGTAATCCCTAGCGATCCATGCACGCTGTGCATAGGGGCAACTATAATTGATGTACAACCTAATAAATAAATAAATAAATAAATAAGGTCATGGGTATGTTAACTTTGAAGCAAAACCATAGAAAACAAGGTGAATTTCGGAGTGTGAGAAGGAACCTGGTGGTTCCATCAAAAAGAGGTGGTGGGTCGGAGGTGGAAGTTAACGATGGTGGACGAACTCCTTGCACGCCTCTATGATAGTTACAAAAAGAGAGCGTTAGAGAAGATGAACATTTGTTCATACAACAACAAAAGGATCACAAACGAAGTGAGAAAATGAAGAATTTTCTTACACAGTAGCCATTGATCGTGTTCTTCTCCGAAACTAATGCTTGAGAGCTAATCTCAATAAGAATAGTGTTGTGTCTACATACAAGCCAATTGGCTTTTTATAGAACCTCGTACCACCGAGTCGTTTCATCAGCAATGACGCGTATCGAGAATACTAGAATACCACTAAAATTATTATTAAAAGAAGCATAAATATTTTATTTTTCTAAAATTATCTTAACCTAGTTGGTAAAGTGGCTAGGTTCATTCATGATCAGGTTACTGGTTCTTTGCATAATCTTTCTGTGTAATCTTTTCTTTGTTTTTTTTTGGGCTGCTTGAGCCCTCTAATATTACCAAAAGGTTCATGCACTAAAGAAAGAAAAAAAAAAAAAAAAACTCTTCAAAGTAATGTTTTTATTTACACATAAATTTCAACATCAAACTTAGAATTATGTGTTTAGTCCTACCGAACTTTTCAATAATAGATTTTACTACCACTTAAAAAACATTTATACTTTCTTCGCTGAATTTGTAGTTTGATTGCTGACACGGGTGCGGATTCATAAAACTTGGATGTGATACCAAATGTTGGCACTTTCTGTGTAATAATAATAAAAATTAATATATTTTCACATGAAAACACAAAAACATAATTTATAATTAAAAAAAAATCAGTTAAACAAGGAATTTACAATTATTCTTTGGCGTTTAGCATCAACTTGAGCCATAGCACAGGCTACAAATGACTCCTCAATTGGCAATTGACACCAACGAATCAAATCAAATCATTCTTTCTACAAGGTTTACAAGATAATAGAAGGAACGGGGGAGGAGGATGGTGCCATTGCTTGGTAAGTATATGCAATCATATAGAGCTCAATCCATCCCAAGTTGGAATTTACTTTTTAAGCTAGTCAGACTTCTTAGCCAGACTTAATAGCACTCCAATGGTGAGACTTGAGGCTACAAAACCAAGAGATGCCTCCGTTGAAACATGGATTCCTGTAGGAATGAGATGTGAAAATTCAAGTACAGTGGATTGTATATAAATTGGTAAATGGATAAGTAATGTATACCCACCAAAGTAGTCCAGGATCATCTTAGACCCAATAAATCCGAGAACAACCGCAATGGACGGCTAACAAGACCAAAAATGTATATATCAATGACATGGATGGAAGCATAAGCAAACAGAAGCAATTTAAGATATCACATCAATGAATATTCAGTATGTATTATCCTGAATAAGAAGAAAAATGAAATTCTAGTTGCAGAGAAATTATACTTAAAAAATAAGAGCAATGGTACTACCATGAGTAATAGTATATGTAAAGAAGAAAGAAAACATAGGGTTACAACAAGTTCTTATTTATCATTAAATCCAAAGAAATTACTGGGATGCCCTAACGATAAAAGTTAAAATAAAATACAAGATGTATATATGAACAATATAGACATTACAAACCAATCACAATTCGTTTCAATTAATCGATTAATCCGGTCGAGCCGATAGGACCACAAGGGTGCCAAAGCTCTCATACTAAGTTTTTAACAAAAGTGCGTACCCAGGGCTCAAACTCGACATTGGTTAAGCTTGAACAACCCCTTGCCAGTTATCCATATGCTTGGTGGTCAATTCGTTTCCAGGATTATTCACATAGAACCACTAATAATCACAATTCAAACCAACTAACACAGTAACACCTTTGAACCACAGCCTTTCACAATAATCAACAAAAATTTTAGATTGTCAATGATGTATGTCAAATGGACTTCCAGAAATTTGGTTTCAGAAAAGGAATTGAATAACAATATTGCATTTAAGATGTAGATGTGCAATCGACATGAAACCCCACTACAGTTGAATTATGAAAAATTGGTTGGGTCCCACTTTGACAAACGAACATAATCCATATATCTTTCTAAAGTTTCTGTTTTCCAGTCAGTCCACAAAAAGATGTCTATTTTCCTGTAATAATTCTGCTCCTAACAGAAAGAGCATTTGTACATTTTGAACCACAATTTAAGATGAAGTAGCAAACTTCTAAATAAGCAGGAAGTCAAAGCAAAACAGCAATGATAAGTGATAACAGAACCATAGTTCAAGACTCAAAAGGTAAAACACAGATGGTTATTTTAAAGGATAGAGTATAGACATATAAACAGCAGAAAATTATGCAGCAACCAACATATATCAAAACAGACCAAGTTAGGATTTACCTGTAAGTACTTCAACTCTGACATACCCCCGGAAATTATTGAATAAAGTGACCTTAAACCTACATTTGATAAATAACAGCTGTTTATTTATTGCTTATTCAAATACAAATAAATATTTAAGGAAAAGCATCGACTACTGTTGTGCAGAAACACATCTGATCTGAGATCGTAACAAGAATAAATTAATCCTGCCTCTCAAACTCCGCGTGATAGTGAAGAAGTAGAGAAATAAGTTTACAAAAGAACCACTTCTTTGCAACAAATTCTGCGTTATAAAATTATTTATTACAATGTGTTCCACAAGCAAATGGATGAACCGTAAAACCAGAACTGTACTTGTATGCTTTTCAGGTGTCAAGTACACCGTGACTTTAAAGAACACAAATTCCAATTCTAAAACATTGAAGAAATCAAATTCAGATATACTAGTATTACATCACGAGAAACAGAGGCAACAGAACTTACCCAAAATTGCAAAAAGGTTAGAAGTAAAGACTACAAATGGATCTCGTGTTACACCAAAAACTGCAGGTATTGAGTCAACCTATAAGAAAAATCTCATGTCAACATTCCCATGGCAAATTAATTAGAAAATGGCACATACAATAGGGGGATGAGAAAAACCTACTGCAAATGCAATGTCACTGAGCTCAATAACTGCTACAGTAAGAAGCAAAGGGGTGGCCTGCCCAAAATGTTTGATCCCTGTTAGAAATCAAGTTAAAACTAATTTAATTCATTAAAAAAAAACTTTTTAATTATTGACAAGAAAACATCAAATGCTAATCCAACGAAAAGTTCAATGCATTTGTGCTGTGGAAATATTACAATTGATTGAATCAACACAATAAGGAAATAATTTCAATTTATAACTGACACTCATCAATAACTTACTTTCCACATCCCATCCTGATTTGTTATGAACCGATTTCCATCATAATGTGCTGCAACAATTTTATCAGAGTAAGATTTGGGACAATAAGATCACTCAGCACAACTTGAATAAGCTCAATGCAAACAATCACATGCCAAGTGAAATATGTATAAGCCAACAATATATTTTTCCCCCATCACACCCATGGTAACATATATGTAGGCATCTAGGTAGACCTGTGTGTATATATGTATTCTAATCAAGCATTCCACAAAGGAACAGAGATCAGGCCAATATAAAAATACTCCAGCTTAAACTAAAAGGAAGCTACAATGGGATATACCTATATCCAAAATTCAACATAGAGCAAGTCAGCATCTATTGTGCCGCAGGCTATAGAGGAAGCAGTCCAAATTCTATGAGAGAATACTCATGAAATCAAAATTATTCTGTGTACCAAACAACATGAGTTGCACTTATAGGCACACATATACACAGAAAATTCCATGAGAAAAGGAAAAACTACAGATTCCTAAACCATCATCCAATTAAGCTTTGATTCAGCCATTTTTACTTAAAACATTCATTTTATATTTTAATTAATTCAGACTATGTTTTCTACTATATCCTTCAATTCGATTGTTTCAAAGAGTAAGAATCCATATTCAAACTCAAAATACCCCAGTAAACAGCAGCAAATCTCCAACTAGGAAAAGGGAAAGAAATAATCATGATTAGAGAACATTACTTGTTATAGGGATAAATTTCCTGCATGTCTTCACCACAAAGTTATCAGATAAGTCAGACTCATCTTCTTCACTGGCAAATAACTATTCATAAAACAAGAAACACATCGTGATTAATGCCGGTCCATAGAAAATACCACAAGTATGAACTTCCTATGATATTGTCAGGGAGATAAAATCATTCGAGTGCTTCCATCTTGTAAAGAACCTTGGGATACACCACCCCAAAAGCTAGCTCAAAGGGTGGGAGTGCCCAAGGCCTTATAAACTCCACATTAGTTGCTCATACAACCAATGTGGGACTATATATCTCAACACGCCCCCTCACACAAAAGCCCATTGGGCTTGAAGAGTGGATGATGCAACAGGTCCAGCCTACATGTGCTAAGAAATTCCACAAGAGAAAGTGGGGGGCGGCGAGGTTTGAACCCGGGACATGAGGCTCTGATACCATGTAAAGAACCTTGGGATACACCATCCCAAAAGCTAGCTCAAAGAGTGGGAGTGCCTAAGGCCTTATAAACTCCACATTAGTTGGCTCATACAATCAATGTGGGACTATATATCTCAACACGCCCCCTCACACGAGAGCCCATTGGGCTTGAAGAGTCGATGATGCAACAGGCCCATCTTACCTGTGCTAAGAAATTCCACAAGAGAAAGTGGGGGGCGGCGAGGTTTTGAACCCGGGACACGAGGCTCTGATACCATGTAAAGAACCTTGGGATACACCACCCCAAAAACTAGCTCAAAGGGTGGGAGTTCCCAAGGCCTTATAAACTCCACATTAGTTGGCTCATACAGCCAATGTGGGACTATATATCTCAACACATCTAAAAGCTTAGAATGATTGGTTCATAATATTGTATAAAAGCCTCTTTGACCTGGTAGTTAAGAGTTTCATCCTCAAGACTCTCATTCCTTCATAATTAAATAAACTTCAACATTAGATAAAATGAGAAAATTCGTTGGCCATGCTTTGAGCACAAAGTAGCATGAGCGGGATGTTAGGTATACGAAAGCATTCATGTGCCTTCACCAAATATCTTGAGCTCAAAGAATCATTGTTTCCTTGACAAATATGAATTCGAAGGTGTTATATGAAGAAAATATGAGGAATTTAAAAGTTGGAAATTGTGAATCTTCACCTTAAATGATGAGTATAGTAATATTGCTGCCAATAGAAGGTTGACTGCCTCAAACCTCTAAACATTATCATAGTAAAAAAGATAGGTTGATCAGCAAAAAAGTGAAGCTTTTACCCAAAAAAATTAAGAAAATGCAAAATATGATATCCATCATGAAACACACCTGAAGGGTGGCTGTTCCAAGAAGTATTATTGTCAGGCGAAAGACAACTGCACCAGCAATACCATAGGAAAGTACACGGTTCTGTAAGTACAATAAGAAGTAAATGAAAGTTAATCAATTATTTGCTCTCAGACTGTTTTTTTATTCGTTAACACAATATTAAAAACTTCAGTATCAAGAACTTGTTAAATCATAAAGTTGAAATTGCTCATTGTTTACCCTTGGCAAGAAGGTATATACATCACCTGATACGAAGTTGGCACTTTGAAGTATTTGAATATTAGAACAAAGACAAAGAGATTATCTACGGAAAGACTTTGCTCCAATATGTATCTAAAAAGTGCACAAAGGTCAAGGTCAATATCCCAGTAGTACAAAGTTCGACAAAATGAAAACAAATCCCGACTTGCGAAGGTGGCGTGTGTATACAGATTTACCCTATTTGCAAAGAGGTTATTACTTGTATTCGAACACATAACCTTTATGTCACACGAGAGCAACTTTACCACTACTCCGTGCTCTTGGTGATATACTACTCTAAGGCCAAATAGAAAAATAGGATGTGGTTGTGTGAATATTGACTTTGACTCATCGAGAACATTGGTTATTGTAGCACTGTAAAATTGGACTGACTTTCTAGTTGATAATATAAAATGAAATTAGTCTGCATACCCAGCAAAGAATTCGGATGCCTTGCCAAAACCTTCTTTAACACCCAAACCGACACCAAATGCCACTGCAGTGCAGACCTATAAGAAATCATAACTAAATTGATGTAAATCTAAACAAGCAAAGAAAAATATAAAAGGAAAGCACTAAAACCATAGTCAGCAAAGATTTTTCATTTTCCCACCCATAAGGCTACAGTTTGAACAGAGGAGCTGTAAGTTTCATTTCCCAGAGATTCTTCCTGAGTACGACATTTCTCAATTTCGTTACTGTCATCACTTGGTTGAACACTAATCCTCTTTACTTCTGCAGATTCATCCAACTACCATTTATAATGATACATATAAATTTAAAATATATATATATATATAAAATAGAAGCATTAGAACTGAATAGCATAGCCTCCAACTCACCAATTCGTCTGGAGCATAGAACCGGAACACGGTGAGGACGACGATAATGATACACTGCCACACACGCAATAAAATTAAAAAAAGAATATAAAAAAAAACTCGTAAGGAGAAAGAACAAATAGCATAGTAGTGAGAGAGAGAGAGACAGAGAGAGAGAGAGAGAGAGAGAGAGAGAGAGAGAGAGACCTGAGGAAAAGGAAGAGATAGGATGGTGAAGAAAGTGGAGTTGAGAGCATTTGGAAGGTGAAGGTGAAACCCTGAGCACGCGGCGATCTAAGTTGAATGGAATTTGGACGCCACCGTTAACAATGGAGGCCAATCCCATAACTCGTGAGCTGTTCTGTGCGGTGGTAAAACACCACCGTTTTGGGAATATATAAAGAGAGAGCGAGCGCATTTGGAATATAAGCAACTGATCCTCTTACTCCCACCGTTTTGTTAGCGCCAGAATTATAAGATAAGTTGTGTGGTCTGAGTTATGTTTGACCTACTTAAACACACATAAGAAAAGATGAGCATACCTATATAAAAACTAGGGAAAAGTTGAAAAATCTGTTGTGTTTCTTATCACTTATTGTTATGGACCCGAGACCAATATTCTATGAGTTCCAAGAAAAGACAATGGAAAAAGAAAATTAAGGTAAATAAAGAAAATACTAAATATCTTTTTGGATCCCTAACAAAAAATACGGTCCCAATTTTAGTCCCTTATAAAAATAAATTAATCAGTTAGTCCCTAACAAATTCAAAGTGGACCCATTTAGTTGAAATCGTGATCCCTCACAAATTCAAAAAAGACTTATATTAGTCCCTCAAAAGGACTAAAATGGATCCACTTTTAATTTATTTTTGTAAGGGACTAAAGTGGGAACCATGTTTTTTGTTAGGGACCCAAAAGGGTATTTACTCTAAAGAAAAATACAAATCAAGGATTTTAATTTGAGGAGGGATATTTTTACTATTAAAATTTTCCACTATAAACTTACTACCTATCTAATCACCATTTGATCAACATTTTCTCTCTCTTAAGAAATTTTTTAGAATTCTCTCTTTGATCCCATGATGATTAGATTGATAATAAGTTGGTAGTGAAAATTTTTGGTAGTACAAATATCCTCCTTCTTTTAATTTTAGTGTAACAGCTATAAATCTGGACATGGCCTCCCAAAAAAGCATCCAAAAGTTCAAAATTTAACTACAAAACTCTATAGATAAATGTTAAACTTATAGGTATGAACATTTTTTTATCTATCTACTATTATATTGTTATTGTGCATACACATCATCCAATGGCTAATGATTTATTTATAATATACAGTGATATGTTATATTTTGAGATATCTAATACTTATGAGAGAGCACCTATATCCAATATAAATATATTAATATTTAACTAGACATCTCCATCTTCGGAACAGAACAAATGAGTAATAATTATTGTATGAGAATAAATGAGTGTTATAATTTGACACCAAATCCGAAAACAGAGATGTCCAACATTAGGGGAAGGATCCTTTGACATGGGCATTAAACTTTGAAATTTGACATCAAATCTTAACTGTTGATTTCTGTCAATCAATTATAATTTCTGCAATCAATCTTATTAATTAATTATTAATTCCCAATAAATAATAATCGTTGATTGACGAAAATCAAAGAATCATGCCCTACATATATATAGTCTTTATATTTATAAGTTTTTAAGATTTTAATATCAAAACGGCGTCATTTTGAGAATAAATGCAGATAACTCATCTGCAGTAACTGCAGAAATATTTTTCTCATATATATATAGGGTTCCTCAATTTTGCTGTCACTGCTAATGAAAAAATTTGCAGCAAATATATTTACATAAGATACGGAGCCAGATCTTGAAATTAAAAAAAAAATACCAAGATCCGAAACCGGATCCTTGTGGAAGTAAGTGTTGCTGCAAATTTTTTGATCTACTCGGGGAGCTATTAATGCCATATATATATATATATATATATATATATATATATATATATATATATATACGAACTAAACCGTTGATTTTTTTTAATAAATAATAATAATTTTATACTACGTCATTTAAAGTGCGTCTCTCACCTTAGAGGAGTCAAATTCCATCAATTTTATATGGAGCAATCTTCTACTTAATTTTATTAATCCGAATATAATATGTTTCCAAATAGTTACTTACTAACACAATTGCAAGAAAGAAAAAAGATTAAAAGAAAACGGAATTGTGGTCACTGTAATCGCAAGCTATGATGCACGGACACGGACACGGACACGGACACGACACGACATGCCGACACGTTAATTCTAAAAAATGTCATATTTGGACACTTGGGACACGTTTTGATATTAAATAAAAATTTTAATATATATAATATAATTTATATTTAATACATATAAGAGTCCACAATAAGTCATATAACCAATCAAATATTTAAATTTTATAACATAAATATAAATAAAAAAAATTCGTACGTTGTTAATTATTCATGTCAAATTTCATAATAGAAAAAAATTAATTTATAAATTTTTTTATATTTAGTTAATAAAATAAAATTAAGATTAAAAAAAACGTGTCCGAGCGTTGACCGCATGTCCGAAAAAGTTGACCGCGTGTCCAAAAAACGTGTCGGAACGTGTCGAAGAGTTGACCGCGTATCCAAAAATATTAACTGCGTGTCCGGCGCCCGACACGCAAATTTTTAAACTTTTCGCGTGTCGGTGCTTGCGAGATGGCAAGTGTGACTTCATCCATTCTGAGTCTATTTTTGTAAATTTAGTGTACGCTCAGTTTCAAAAATATTTTCATATATTCATGTTAATGTGGGTACAATTTTTTTTATTTTTTTTTTGGTATTTAATATGGGTACAATTTACATAAAACGCCTACCTTTGAATTTTTGTAATTTATAATGTACAATTTATAGGTAGAAAAAATGGTAGGTAGAATAACATATCTCTTGTACTATTTATCCGTCTTAGTTTTTGTAGGGAAATAAAGGAAGACAAAAAATATTCAGCCCATATACTAAAACACTAAACACTTATTACATTATAGATAGGTTATTCTACTTATTTTTTTCTGCCTATTGTATACCACTCTAAAAGACCATCATATCAGAATCTTAATTAATATTTATCTTTCTCTCTCTTTTTTAGATTATGATCTAACGGTCTTGGAGAGTGACAGGCAAAGGTAGGTAAAAAAAATAAGTAGAATAACTTATCTCATTATATTATTATAGTTAAAATTTAGGGATAGGTTATTCTTCCTATCATTTTTTTTCTATCTTTGCCTATCACCGTTCAACACCGTTAAATCATAATCCCAACTACATTTTTCATTTCTCTCTCCCATTGAGATTCTGATCTAACAATATTAAAGGATGGTAGACAAAGGTAGGCAGAAAAAATAGTAGGTAGAATAATTTATCCCTAAAATTTATAGGGATAGATTATTATGCCTACCCTCTTATTCTGTCTACCTTTGTCTACCTCTCTCAACACCATTAGATTTTAATCTCATCCAATAGTGGAGATTTGCGGGATAAAATAAACCCTTTTAAGCCTCTCATCCTTTCTCTGTCCTCCTCTTTTTCTCATCTAATGATTTTTTATTCACGTTAATTTTAAAAAATGGCATATTTCGATACGTTGGGACACGTTTTGATATTAAATAATATTTTTAATATATATAATATAATTTATATTTAATAGATATAAGTATAACAGTCCATAATAAGTCATATAACCAATAAAATTTTCGAATTTCATAATATAAATATAAACAAAAATAATTTTTCGTACCATGTTAATTTTTCATGTCAAATTTCATAACAGAAAAAAATTGATTTATAAATGATTTTTTTATTTTTAGTTAATAAAATAAAATTAAGAATAAAAAAAAACGTGTCCAAGCGTTGACCACGTGTCGAAAAAAGTTGACTGCGTGTCTAAAAACGTGTTGAAGAGTTGACCACGTGTCCCAAAATATTGACCGCGTGTCGGACGCGTCGTGTCGGACACTCACAGTTTTAGAAAATCAACGAGTCCGTGCTTTGCTGCTAAAGATGATGACAATAGTATGACAGTGATTCGAATACTAAATCCTAGTTCTCTCTCTTTCGTTAAGCTTAATACAATTATTTTTGTATCCCAGAAAAGTATTACCCATACTTAATACATGAAAGAATAATTGTCAAGGAATGATGGATGTATCATGGCCAAAAATAAAAAAAAGAAGACAAACAAAAACAGATATTTCCAAATACCAGACATCATCTTTGTGTCATTACAAAATAGCCGTACATAAATTAATATAAAGAACTTAGCTATTACGCGCTTATGCAACCTTGCTGACTTTGAACTACCACCTGAGGCCATAGATTTGTTGTCTTTAGATACATGAGCAATTACTACTATTAATACATTTATATAGGAAGCAGCAACTTACATAGGTGTGAGTCTTCTGCAAGTTATTAGCTTATGATCCCAATTGTATCTAATAGCTTAATTGTTGTTAGATGCAATTGGGATCAAGAGCTAAAATTGAGTATAAGATTGTTGCATGATCATGGTACATCTAAAATTTGCTTGGTTATAGTGATAATTGCATCATTTTAATATCTACAATTATTTTTGTATGATCAGCAACCTAGGAAGTGGCATGCCCACCTCCCTTGATTGAAACAGGAGAACCCCAGAGAGAACTGTTATGAGTGAGATTGTGATCTAGAAATACAACAATCACTGTTATATCATCATGGAAGTCTCTCCTCACCCCTTGTTCAATCTTTTGGAGGTCTGCAAGTCTCATTTCTCTCTTCTTAGCTGCTTCTCGAAGTGCAGTTTTCACAAGTCTCCTAGCAATTCCCTGTTACATGAAATGGAATATGTTAGAAAAATATAATATAAAATCGTTAGTGCAACCTTCACCTAATTTTAGATAATAATATAAATCATTAAAAAAGCTCTCACTTAACACGTTAAGTTTTTTACTTGAAATGGTTTTTTAAATGGTTCTTTACAGTAATCACGAGGTCACGAGTTCTATTCTTACTGCTTATACTTTTTAATGGAATTAAAATAAGCACAAGGTAAATTAAAAATTAAGCATGTGTAATCCAGGCTTCAAGCCGTATTAAAGAATAATATAAACTATTAAAAAGACCGTCACCTAATACCTTAACGTTTTGGGTTAAAATAGTTCTTTACACTAAGACTTTTTAAGTTGTTGGATTGAATTGATTGTTTTAAAAAATGATAAGTGTACCACTAGTCAGAGAAGGAATCCTACTAAGAGAACAACAACCTTGAATAATGAAAAGAATGGAATCTTACGTTAGGTGGGTTATTGGTGACTATGTTAGCAGCCTCTTGGTTGCTAATATGTTCCCATAAACCATCAGAAGCAAATATGAGAAATTGATCGTCAGGATGGAGTTTGTGCAATGATATTGTTGGCTCACAACTAAGAATTGGCTTGAAGAATGTTTCAGCTAGTCTAAACTTTGATGGTAGAGGCTCCCTGTTAAATTCTGCTTTCTTCAGATATGCATCACCTATGGATCGTGAAACCTGCAAAGCCAAGTTCTGTTCTCATATTGGAGTAATAAATGATAAAAATATAAATATAAAATTATTCACATGTCTTCACCTAATAATTTAAGCTTTTAATAGAGTTGGTTTGTTAATAAGTGATTTTCAGCACAAAATAGGAGAATTTGTCCATTGATCACACTTAGAGCGCAATACACAAAGAACTCTTGTGTAAGGAGGTGTGTTAAACGTTTTGTTCTTGCTTATGGTTTTATGAACAATGTCTAGCATAAGCAATCATGCCGTGGCAGCATAATTCTTTAGTCTTTACAAATAATATAAAGCAAGTTGTTTTTTATTCTAGATAAGTCTTTCCTTTGCTGAAAAGCATGTGAACCTAGAATTTGAAATCTTATCAGTAACAAGAAGCAATATAAATCCACCAAATTTGTACCTGTATGAGGCCTTTCACACGCCAAACGTTGTGTCTCATAACCACAATTTGTGAATCATAAGGGTGCTTAGACCGAATTTCATCTCTGGCTGTTTCTTGGTTAACATTGTGTTCTGAAGATAATTGTATAGCTGATGTTTCCCTTGTTGCCCTCTCTACTCTTCCTAGCACCACCCGGGAGTCTCCAGAATTTGCAACATATAACATGCCATCGCAAATTATCCCCACCAAACAACAAGTACCCGTGGATGCAATATATGGCTTACTTAGCCACTGTTTCTTCACAAGAGATAGAAAACCTGCCTCTGTTGCTGAAAATGCCCTTTTGATAACATATTCTGACATGCCTTGATGTTCAGCTGCAAGCCCTGGATCACACAGAAAATGGATTCAATAATTACCAAACTGAAAATAAAGGGTGTTGTTAAGGATATCAATGTTTTGGAGAGTTTTGAAAACAATATCCCCAGTGAATTTTGAATCCACGTGCTTATAATAAAGATGGCAGCATACTTTTGAGATTGCAGAAAAGATTGTCACTGACAAATTGTGAGGCCTCAGTTCCACCATGACCATCATATACACCTATAAAGGTCCCTTGTGGACCCAAATGGTTAGAACTTAAGGGTCCAGACTCAAGTTGGCTTCGATCCTCCAATGACCTATTGGCCTGAACCACAGCCATTGAGAATTCCCCATAAAGATGGTTCCCCAAATCCTTATACCATAGAAGTCCATCAACTCGGCCACTCCCATCATCATCATCACCATCAACATAAGGTTTCCAGCAGGATCTAACCATCTTGTGACAACCCCTTGATTTTATAGAAGCTTATGTTTCACAACAATAGCACAAATGATCCAATAATTGATATAAGATCAAGCTCTCAGTTCCTGAATTTATATACCCTGCAGAAGCATACACCACTGGATAAGAACAAATTGAAGACAAAAACCAAAAGGGTATGGGCTGAACTAACTAAAAAATGTACCTTGGAAGGTGAAACCAAATAGTTTTCATGCAAGTTCATAGAATAAGGGGGCGTGCTGGTTCTGTGTACCTTGATTTTGAGTTGAATGCTTTTTGGACCTCAGAGATGTGCCATATTTCAGAAACAAATTTATTCAATATGGCAGAGTTGGTCTAAGATCTCAGTGACCAAAGGAAGCAAATGGATAAGAGAAGGATTTGGAGCTTTTATGGCAAAGGATCTTTAGAGTAGTGTCAGATGAGATCTAGGATCAGAAGATGAAGAGAAATTTATTTTAAAGTGTATAGTCTGACATTGTTGTTCTTGTCCTTTCATTTGTCCCTTATGATTAAATGTTTTTTGTGGCCAAGTGGGTTTCTAAATGTCATCAATTTCATGGCTGAGATTTTGAGTTCCATCAACTTTATAAGCAATAATCCTGAGTTTTTAGGCAACTACGTTCTACAACACTTCCACTTTCCAATCTTTTGGGTTAACGTTAACATCATACTTTTCCCTGCTTTTAACTTTCGTGACACTAAAAAACTTTACTAGATTTAGAGTGTTTATGACTGACAAGGTTTTCTGACCCTCTTAGCTCTTACCATGCACTTGATCTTCGAACTGTAATTTTTTTTTTTTTAATCACGATTTATGCTAATATAAGCTACTTTTTTTTTTACTGTAAATATGTGATTATAAAAAGTAGAAAGTGATTTACGAAATCCTTTTCTCAATGGTTCTTCAACACTAAAGACGTAATTGATTTTGTAGGCAGAAATATCTGTTGTGTATATGTCAAACAGAGTTTTAAGTCAAGAAAACATTATTCACGTTTCTTTGTTACATGACAAATTTAACCAGAAAAGGAAAAAGGAAACATATATTAAGATCCATGTAATGTATCTTACCACATTTATTCCCCCATTTTCTAATGAATAGTCCTTTTTTATATGAATCTGTCAAACCTTTCCGTTGAGGCAATATGATAAAACAAGAAGAACATTTTCCTAATTTTAAATATTATAATTGGCTTTTTGATGTGCATAAAACTCCTTTGTTGTCAAACATCGTTAATTTTTTATATGATTATTATATTTCTTCTACAGTTTCTTTCAATATTATGTAGTCAAATTATAGGGTTTTTAAGAAAACTTGTACTAATGGTATAAAAACGGTACAATAACCTCAAAGGACAATCAAATTTAACATATTTATTAAGGATTCACTTTTTCTACTATCAATGTAGATAATTTATCTACATTCAAAACGATGTCGTTTTGAGGCAGAAATCAAGGTATTTTTATAATTATAATTTATTTTAGGGTTATAATAATCTTTTTATTATAATTTTTTAATTTTTCAACCCAAAATGACGTCATTTTGGGAGCGAATATAGATAACTTATCTACATTCACTGTAGAAATATTAAAGCCATTTATTAATTACATAATTGGTTTTTTTTTTCTGGGAAGAATCTGTTTACAAACTTTTTTTACATATTTTTGCAAATTATACTATGTACTCCCGGGAGAACATAGTGTAACCTAGTGTTCTCCCGAGAGTACATAGTGTAGTTTGTAAGAATTTGTAAATAAAAATTTTATAAATATAACCCTCCTTTTTTTTATGCTTTATTATTTTATGATCAAATGTACGTCAATATTGTTATTCTTGTTTCTCCCTATATTATATCTTAAGGGAATACGAATATTACATTCATTTGGTGTTAGTATGTGATCTAGATAAAATATAGGCCCGTTAGAGGCCCAATGACATATGGAGAAGCCCAAACCCATTAAGGATCCAGAGCAAGCGCGATGGACAAACATCGCGCATAAGACGCGATGCCCTCATCGTGTCGGACAAAACACGATGTCCATATCGCGGATAACCACTATATAAGCAAAGGGTACAAAACCAAGGTACGATCATCCTTTACATTAATAACATACAAACTCCTGTCTCTGATACTGACTTAAGCATCGGAGTGTGTTCGCAGGTACCCCCAATTCAGATTCATCGCGCTACAACAAAGGACAGAGATATAGTAAGATCCAGTTCTGATTCAAGGCCCAAGACCAAGAACAACAATCCCCATCTCAACTGTGTATGATTAGGCTCGATACATATTGGCCAGCCCAAATTGTATTTGGCCTGATCATTGGCGCCGTCTGTGGGGAACTACCAGTTAGAACCCATCATTCTCTTGAATTAAAAACATGGTTGATATCAGAAGAAAATCTCAGAACGGCTCCAAAGGAAAGCGGAAGGAGACTCCTGCTTTTCGCGAAAAATCAGCTTCGTCGGTGGCACCACTTTCCATCCATCAGGATAACCCACCGACAGCCCAACACCTGTAAATCTACACACGCGTTCAAAACTGTGCGTTAAGGACCAAACGAAACATTGCACGATTATCTTAATAGATTCTTATAAGGAATAATTATATGTTTTTGTATTAGGTATAGATGAAAGGTTCATATAATAACTGAAAAATAAAGAAAGTGCCACCGGAAACAAAATATATAGAGAGGAGACAATAATCTGGTAATTCTATTAACACCGCCACAATTTTTTTTAAAATTTAAGCTTGCAGTTAATTAATGTTAAAAGATTTCATCCACTATCAAGTTCATATACTATTTATGTAACTAAAAAGTAAGAGAGACCAAATTATTTTGGTAAATGGTAACGAATGCACACAAGTTACCTCTTAACCATTAAAAAATAATAAATAAAAGTAATTTTTCATATTTTTTCTTAAAATATTATATTTTTTATTGAATATATTATATTTTTTAATTTCTTAAATATATTCAGAGCACTCATCAGCAAAATATGATTATTTTTTACTTTAATATTTATATAGTGAATGTAGATAAATTATCTACATTCACTCTAAAATTGACATCGTTTTGTGTTGAAAGATTAAAAACTTATAATGAGAAAAATTATTAAAATCTTGAAATAAATTATAATTACAAAAATATCTTGATTTCTGTTCCAAAATGACATTGATTTGAGCTATTGACTGCAGAAAAAAGAACCATTTTTTATATAAAATTTATCATTTTTTTTTTAACAATGGTGGTAACAAAATTTGAATTTATGAACTCATGTCAGTTATTCAAGTACTTCACCATATATTTAATTCTAATGGCTATACATTTTAATTATGATGCAATTCTTTGAATGTAAGTCCATCATAAGAGTTATTATGCAATATTTTAATTTAATGATAAGCATTTGATCTAATTAATGATTTTTTTTATGATGTTATTCTTTGAACGTAAGTTATTCAAGTACTTCACCATATACTTAAAAGGATTTTTTTTTTTAGTGGAACCTCTCATGTGAGATTTCACATGATCACATTATGTAAATGATTCTTAACTGTTGATATATATTGAAATTATCCTGTTTGGTTATTTCAATATATAGACTTATTTTTCAAACTTATTTTTTCTAGTAGGTAAAAATTTCTATATAGACAAATCACGTTGATAAAAAAATGATAGAGAAAAAATATTAGAATATAAGGTAAGAAAAGAATAATTATTGATTTATATATAAAAACCCTCTAAATAATCTGGTTATGTGAAATTATCCATGAGAAGATTCATTTATTTGTTTTACCTATATTGAAATTTAACTTTTTATTATTAAAAAAGGAAGCAGCAAGAATTGGACATAGGTAGTATTATGTCATATCAAACAATCAATTCTTCTAAAAATGTAAACTATTTAACGATAACACATGAAGAATTTTATTATATCTTTTAACACAATGTTTCGGTCTAATAAGTTTGAAAAAATTCTGAGGGCAAAGGATCACGAGGTGACTTCAGACCTTTCAGACACAAAAACATATGGCACACGGACAAAAATTCTTGGAACTTGTAATCGTGCATGCATTCTCAATATTCACCTACAAAGATCAACATAGTATATCTTTCTTTGGCTTTACGTGTGTTATAACTAATCGCGTTTTAATTATTAATATACTTTGGAAGTTGTGTGATTATGTTTGCTTGTCTTTTTCCTGAGACCATTCAGCTACTTAGCTAAAAAAAAATTTAACACACTGATTTTTGAATTTATAACCTCATAGATTATCCAAATCCCTCGCCATTATACCTATTCTAATGGCTTCGGCTGATTTTTTTAAAACATGAATAATCCTGTTTGGTTTTGGATTGATGATTCGTGCCCAACTCTTAGAAATAATTAAGTTCATAAAATTTAATCTAAACGGGTGCTTAATTGATTCTCTCATTAAGAAATAATTATTGCATAGATGAAGCAATCTTGCAAAACACACAAAAACAAATAGTGGAACATTGACGGTGGGTTAAAAGAGAAAGAAAAATGGATGATGACGATGAGGTCTGCGAAAAACTTTGTAAGTAACGAAATTGTTTGTGATTCGTTGACATTATTGAATTATTAATCATAAAAGAGATTCAGAGAGGCAAATTTTGTGTGTCACATACAGTCATAGATCTTAACTAAAAAGGTTATTATTGTACATAAGCTTTACCTTCTTTTCTATTGGATTAATGTTATCATATGATATCTGGACCAGCTTACACATATCTCTATTGTCATCTAAATTTGATTAACAGTGAATATAAATGCACTCTAAAGTCTTAAGCTCGATTTTTGTGGGTGATCCTTGTAATTATTATAAAGTCTTGCTGTGGTAAGTTTGATCCTTGTAATTTTTTCCTTATGTTTTTAAAATCCTTTTTAAGATGTGACTCTTATAGAATTTGACATGAATGCAAGAGAAATAATGGAAACTGAAATACAGAAAATTAAAACAATAAATAATCACCTTTGAGAGGAGTTTAAAGTCTTAATTCTGAACCCGTCCCGAATCGGATTAGTTGGAAAGCAATGAACCGATTGGAATATTTTCAAAAAAAAAACAATAAATAATTAATTTTTCACTTGTCACAAACACCCCTTGAATGTCATCATGTAACCAAGTCTTTCATACTAGCATGCTATAACATCCATTCAATTCTATGAATGGATAACGTATGTTGTTTTTCATCACTTTAACTGACCTACTGTTGCAATCCTAATATCAATAAATTAATTCCTTAACCATATTAATTGACTTTATTTTTACATTCAAGACATAAAAAACCGTGACATTTTGCATCTGAAATTTCCCGAGCATATCAGAACAGTCCAGCAGCAGATCACAAAATTGCCTAGTCCTCCTCATAAACCATAAGCCCAAGTATAATAATAATATTGATGGAAGTCACAGGAACCAAGTGGTGACCACATTAAAAGTCACCAAAAGTGAATGAAGAAAAAGCACAAGAAAAGAATATGGACAAAAGGGTTGGGACCCCAAAGTGGAAGCCTAGAACTGACAGCACATCCCCCACGTCACATGCATTCTGTGGTGAGTGAAACAACAATTCACGAGAACTTTACCACTCTGCTACCAATCTTATTATTCAGGACCTCAAGGTTTATTATGCTGTTCCCGCCTATTTGTATGCTAAATAATCTCACACCCCATATTATATATGAACATAGAAATAATTTAGCATTATTACTATCTCAGTGTGAGACCTTAAATTGGGCCAACGTGAATCATTTGCCTTGTTCTTCCCATTGAACTTTGAAGCCTTTCTCTGGCATGCCTCAATGCATCTAGAGCTTCAAGGACACTTTCGTTAACTGGTTTGAGATTATTGGTGGCTTGTGATGTTGCTGTCATATTCACAGGAACTAATGCTAGAGAATTATCGCAGAAATCTGCATGATCACTCTCATTCTCTGTCGCTGATGATTTTGAGCTTAAACTAGAAAGCCTGAAACACAATCCCAAAATCCAAAATTTGTAGCTAGCTCAAACAAATACAACTGAATGAGAAAAAACTATTCATCTAATATAAAAAAACTCAGCATGTTCAAATTTAATACCTGCTTTCATCATTCTTCAAATCCTCATGGCTTGGATTTGGATCCTCACTTAGAATCTGTTGGGAAGAATAACAACCCGGGTCTGAATTTCTACTGGAATTATCAGTAATCTGAGAATCACAATCTTTTGTAGTGGATGAATTATTGTGGGTCTGAACGAGTGCGGCTTCTGAAACATTGTGATTTTGCACTACAATTTCTGGCAAAGCTGGATTTTTTGCATGATGCTTTGTTTCATTTGCTTCTGAATAATGTTTGGAAGTTGAACTAATTGAGGATGACCCACAAGAATTTTCAAATTTATCTGACAAATCAGAATGCTCCAATTGCCCTGACATGTTGAAAGATTCAAGCTTCTTCTTTAAAAATTTAAGCTTTCTTTCAGCTTTCTCTCTTAATTTGATCTCTTCCCTTAGCAATTTTTCCAACTCAACCAACTGTCCACCACCCCAAAAAGAATTTTTCATTTTTTCATTTTTTGGGAAACAAAGAATAAAGTTAGTCAGAGAAAAAGCCACACAAACCGAACAACATGAATGTCATTTTCTTTCCTTTACAGTGATGATCCAAACAGTGTCACAGAAAAGTGAACGAAACAATTATTCAAGATTGACACTCTTAAACAATAGGATTAATAAAATTACCTTGTTGCCCATTGATTCTTCTTCTTCCTTAGCTACCCTTGAAGCCTGTCTCTCTGCCAGTAACCTCCCTCTGAGGCACCTCACAGTGTTCAAACCCTCATCTCCTTCCATTTTATTGCTGCTGATATGACACATTGAACAATTTCATTCCATATTTTGATAGCACAATTAACAATGCAATACTAGAAACAAAGAGAAAGAGAGAGAAAGAGATAAAACACACACCTCCATATGTGGTCCACCCTAGTAGTATCAGCAGCTATCACTTGCTTATTATCTGCACTTTCACCACTACAAGTCCCCATCTCTTTCCTTCAGATCAGACCCAAAAGTGTGTTGAGGTTATTTTCGAATAAACAAGGTAAAGGGAAGTGTGAATGTGTGATGATGGTTCTGGTTTCTTTGGAAGAAGAATATCCTTGTTGTGCAATGTGCAGGTTCAAAATTAAATGCGATAATTTGTGTATTTGAAAACCAAAGGGAGAAGTGTATCAAATAAAAAAATAAAAAAAAAAAACCAAAGGGAGAATGGAATCTTGCTCACATCTCACACAAGCTGAAGTCGCTGTCTCGGAGTTATAAATATTTTTATTTTTTATTTTTTTATAAAACACATCTATCCTGCGGGGGAGATAGCCGGAATAGGATTCTGTATAGCATATCCTAAGCTAGGTTTTTACTTAAATAAATTAGATATGTATAAAATATTTCAGACTTGATCTGATTTCTAATACCGTTAGTTATGGGGGGAATAGGCCTGAATTATGACCTATATTCAAAAGGAATAGGATATTATAATTATTAAATAATGTTATTGTCAATATTACTATCAAATCTTAATTGTTGATTTTCGTAAATTTCGTTAATCAAGGATTATTATTTTCACAAATCAAGCTTATTAATTAATTATTAATTCGCAATAAACGATAATCGTTGATTGGAGGAAATCAACTATTAAAGTATGATAGTAATATTAATAGTAACATAATTTGGTAGCAATAATATTTTATCCTTATTCAAAAAACAAAAATTTTGGTCTAGGTCTGTCTAAGTCTATTAGATATTTAATAATTCAAAAAATAATAAAATAATATTACTCTAATATTTAAAATTATTAAAATAACAATTTATTTATTTTATTTAAAATAAATAATATGATATATGTTGACCTGTAAGATTATAGGCCCTCCATGTAGAAGAAAATCTATGACCCACTTTTTTAGACTTTTTTTAAAATCCAAAGCATATTCTATTTAATTATATGTAATAGGCCAAGCATAGACCCGTGTTAAGCCCACCGGCTCTTTACACCTCTAAGATGGATTAATTCTCCCAATTTTTTTTTTTAACAATCACAAAAACTTAAGCCCAAGATCTTATTTAAGCGGAATCAAACATGTACTACTTAAATCAATCCCTTAATATCCACCTCCAATTACATCTTTGTTTTGTGGTACTTTTGACGGTAATTGTTAGATTTTATTGTGTTTTTGGTTCAGTGTAAAATAGATTTTATACCACATACTTTTTTATTTCAAACAAGATTCATCATATCTGTATAATTTATCTACAATGCAGTAATTTTTTTTTATTTTTCTTTTGGATTGTGACTATCCACCTATCAAAATATAAATTATAGCAAAGCATGCCTAAATCAAAGGCTTGCGTAAAGAGAATAATGTATTAATGTTTGTATAGATGCTCCAAATGCCAAAAAGGCAAGCCTGGAGTCAGCAAGATAAAAAAAAATTAAATATTCAGAATGTGACTTATTTACTATATTTTATTAATTAAAATGTTTGAATTTAATGTTCTGTCTTTTAAACCATTGAAAGGTTGCTTTCTTGGTTTTAAAATGTACTTGTAGTTTCAAAAGAAATAAAATGCATATATAAAACTTATTTAGCCGCTCAAAATGAAAAATAAGAAAAATAAATAAATGCAAAACACGCATTAAAATCAAAGGCTTCCTGTACCTGCAGGCTGCAGGCTTACAAGGAGATTGTTTTCTGTGATACAGACACATATATTTTGCAGCATTTATTGGTTATTGTATGTTATATGAAACAACCCTGTTAAATTTAAATTTTGAACTCGCATGAAAGCGATGACTTTGCTTGTCTATCTTTGATTATCTCACAGTTCCACTACCTGCTATTTTAATAGTGTGTCACGTGATGTTCTTGAATTGTCTTTTCCTTCTTAATATCTCCTCTCTCTCTCAAACTATTTTTAAAATGAAAAACATAAATATTTATAATTTTCAAATTAACATATTGTGCGTGTATTGTTCATAGAATAAGCTAATAAATTACCAATAAGCAAGGCTTGGTAGGTGGGGGGTAAAAAGAGGTTTTGCTAAATTTTAGAAACAATCGTTTCTCAATATTTATATTATTTTTTTAGTAAATTATTTTTGTAATGCCGGAAGTCAGAGGTAATATTAGAATGAGAATGATATTTTCATATATTATTTAATATGATTTTTTTTGGATACATTTAATATGATTATATAACGTGAGAGGATCTAATCATTGATAATGGGGAATAAGAGAGAAAAATATTGAAATTGAGAGTAACAAGATAATCATCAATAATTTACCTATAATTGGATATGATTCTTTCACATAACATGACCAAGTTAACTAAATATGAGACGATGCTCTCTCTCAACTAGAATATTTAAGTGGATTCGAAATATATACTTAGGGATTTATTGGATTGAGATTTTAATAGATTATTTTTGAATAAAAAAATTCATTGGTATTCAATTAGGATTTTAAATGCTTGAAAAATAATCATGTTGTATTCGATTAGAATTTTAAAAGATTATTTTAGAGTCCGTCCAAATTCGTTGATATTCAATCAGGATTTTAAACAAAGAAAAAACAATCTTATAGTATTCAAAAATCTTACGATTTTATGCATTTTCTATTTGTGTGGATTTCGTGAGACTTTTTAGTGAGAAATATAAATAGGATGTCTCTCTCACAATCTCACAATAACCCTTACGATTTCTTGAGATTTCTCTATTGCTTCTTCTTCTTCCTTTGGTGGGTCAACCCGCTCGAAACATAGTTCCGCCATTGGAGCTTCGTTAAAGCTCAAAAACAACAAATTTTTGAGCGATTTTCATCACAAAAACAACCTAGAAACAACAACCAAACAAGAAATTCATCTCAAAAAAGCATATTTTGGAGCAATTTTTGAAAGTTTAAAAATAATTTTTCAAACTATTGGTTGTAAGAACCCGCACCGTTAATTAAGGTATTTAATTAATTAATTATGCAAAATTAGGAAATGATTCCATAATTGACTCTAATAATTATTATGAGGCTTTAATAATTATAGTAAGTGAGTAATAATGCTGAAAGTTGCTTTTCGGAAGAAAAGTACAGATACCGGTTCTGCTAGTCGGTATAAATGCGTACCGAAAAAGTATCCCGGAAAATTAATGTAAGTGCATGATAATTACTAGAATAATATGTAGGACTTGTAAAACGAGTTTCAAGTCAAGATAATGAGAACTGGTGCTAGAAACCGGTACTGGCTTGGAAAAACGCATACCGGAAAGGTGCTCAGAAAATTACGAAAAAAATATGATAAATATTAGAAAATTATGTAGTTTCATAATCCAAAGTTTGGGATTAAAATGCTAAGCGTAGCAATTAAAGTTAATATTGTGTGTTTAAGTGGCTTGGGCTATAAATACCCATTTTTAAGGGCACAAAGCCCTAGATACCAGACTTTGAACGTGAGTTGTTAGTGGAGGCTGACCAGTTTCTGTTCCTTTGGCCTTCTCCCTCATTCTTGAGCCAAGTTGTGACATTTATTGGTTTTCTTCACCCTTTCTTCTTGTATACACTTGGGTGGTGACTTGTGAGTGGGGAGAGTGGGTTTGGGGGAGTGCTCAGCCACTGTTGGTGAGGGGTTTTGGGGCTGACTTGGTTGGTTTGGTTGTGAGAAGCTTGGCTTTGGTTTTTGGAGGTCCAAGTGGGGAACTTTGCTCTAAGGAACCAACCTTTATGGTGCTATTTTCGTGCACATCTTTGAGTCAAACTTGAGGGGTTGTGTTGAGCTCCAAGAGCACCTCCATTCTCTGTTTTAAGCCTTTGGTATGTATACCAACCTTTGATCATGAGTTTAATGCTTAAAAATGAAAGCTTGATGCATGTTAAGGCTTAAAGATGATAACTTGTTGTTGGGTAATGTTGAACACACCTAGAAATGCATGTTTAGGTGCTTTAAATCGTTAAAAACCCAACCTTGGAAGGATATCTTCACGAAATGCATTTTCTGCATTCTTTCGTGAAATATCCGGATATGTGCCCGATGAATATCCGGATATGTTCCCGATGAATATCCGGATATGTGATATCCGGATATGGGTTTTGTGTATCCGGATAATAGATATCCGGATATGGGATTCTGGATATCCGCATATTGCATATCCGGATATGTCCAGTGAGATATCCGGATATTGAATATCCGGATATGGTCCCGAGGAATATTTGGATATTCTGGGATTTCGTAGAACAGTAGTTGTGCTGTGTGTACAGTAGGCTATTGGGGGTTTGTGGACCCTAGATTGATGAAGTTGAACTTCTGTAATTAATGAACTAAGTCAGAATCGTTGTGATTAAGGACTTATGGCTTGGTATGGAGCCTTAAGACGTAAAACGTAAGGAAAGGCGTTGTCTTTAAGTTTTATGCTTGTGTTGCATTTTATTGATATAATATTGGTCCATAACAGATTGTGAATCTGCTGTGTTTGGACTTTGAGCTTTGGACTCTTGGCTTTTGGGGTTAGCTTGCAAGGTAAGCTTTCGTGTCCTCGGTTTAGCCATGTTGTGGTTCCACCATGTCCCATGGCGGTATGGTTTATGCATGCTGTGTACATGTTTTTGGATATTTGATATGTTGATTGAACTTTACATGTAATGGCTTTTAATATGCATGTGTTGTTTCATCTTGACGGGAAGCCTGAGTATGTAGCGCTATACAAGACGGTGTACCAGGGTGAATGCAAGTGGTACTTGCACGGTGTGTAGGTGATAGACGTATACCTGCACTGTCTCTGGCCAGTAGATTAGTATTGACACACATGACATGATTATATGCTCCATTGCATTGTTTTAGAAATGATAAATGATAAACTGTTTTTGAACTTATATTGCACATGTAAGTGAGCTTGGGGTGGAAGATCTTTGAAGACTCACTGACTTACTGAGATTTCTAGATTAGAGATCTTACCCCACGTTTGGGGAATGCTTATTTCAGGATCGGGTAGTATGGGTACTGATGCCTCAGGCGGC